CAAGTTTGAAGACCCCTGGTCTGGATTATCAATGTACTAATCTTGGGCACTGGGTTCACTATATTTATCATGGTTCACTGAAGTGTACTGAAATAATCCAATTGCTTGAATTTACACAACATGCCAAATGATAAGCAATTATGCCAGCTGAATTATCATAACAGTCTGAACAACACATCAAGTGAAACCAGCTATACTTTCAGAATGAAAATTGCAAACCAAGCTAGAAATGATATTTTGATGGTACTGGGCATTTATTTTCTGGCATTAAACTATTTATCTAATGAGAGCTGCCATTGAAGAAATTTCCTCATATGGACTATCTTCAGAAATCTTCCTACTTGATCAGCCAATCTTAATTACGAATAGAATATCATAGAGGAAAAGATGATTCCATCCATTCTGCATAGGATGTTTTAATTTAGCTGAATAAAAGTGTTTTCAGAAATTCTTTGTTTTCATTTCCCTGTCTTTAGAAACCTTCCTTCCTTTAGATCCATGAAAGTATTGTCTCTTAATTTTTGACCCACTTTTTTAGGGCTTGCTGAGCTGCCATCAACAAGTGAGATGATATCTGATATTACTTTTAAGAAGTTTTCCATGGCAAAAAGGTATGTGTTTCAACTGTTGAAATGTGTATCAGTCTTCTAATACTTTAAGCATAATAATTGGTAAACATGTTGATTGGATAGGTGATCTTCTGTCCTATAACATATTTGCAGACTTTTCTAAGCAGGTGACACTGTCAGGCTTCCCGACACTAAAGCCTCTTAAGAGACATCCATAAGAGGCAGAAACTAAATCTTTACTATATTTCAGAACAGTCAGTTGATATTCACTGAGCCATTGAGGCTCTGTGACAGATTTTTTCTTAGATGAAATCCAGCATTTTTCCCCATGTCCATTCTTTTCATAATGGAGCTCTGAGAACTCAGGTGTTTATGCACTAAGGCCCAAAGTATGAGAATCAAACAGGGTGAACTTTAAGTCCTAGTACATGAGGGCAGTACAATATTGTTTCCATTACCAGGACTTGATGGGATGAAGCCCATGATTGGAATGTATTGTTAGGATATAAATTGTTTAAAAGAAACAGACCTAACAAAGGAGGTAGAGTTACATTACATGTAAGAAATCACTGACTGCACCTCTACAGAAATGCACAAAAACGAAGATGAAAGCCTTTTTTCAATGCATTTGGGTTAATATAAGATCACCTTTATTGTCACTTTTTTCTGTCAACACATTGGCACACACTCACCTCCCGCCCTCTCGCCCCACCTGCCTGCTCAACCCACCCCACCCAGTCACTCCTCATCTTGCTTGCTGCGTCATTGCTAACCTACCTTCGCCTGCCATTGCTGCCTACCTTCTGCCGCAGCCCTGATCTCCCTGGGTGAGTTATTGTGCAAGCCCTGGTCGAGTCGACTCCTGGCATGTCCTACCTGTTTCTGCTGCCACAAGCCCCAGTTGAGTGCTGACTCCCAGTCCCGCCTAGGCCGCTGCGCCCACCCACCCCCATCTCCGGGCTTGATTGGCTTGCCTTTGCTGCCAGTGTCACGTCTTCATCACGTGCGGTGCTCGCAGTGTGGCTAGCTAGCTGCCCCGCCCCACTGTACTCAGCCTCGTGCTGCTTCCGATGCTTCCCAGCACTTCCTGCCCCTTCCCACTGTTCCCGGCATTTCCAGGAACTTCCCATGTTTCCCAGATCTTCCCGCTTGCCTCTGAATGCTGTCTGAGAAGCCACATGGCTCTGCTGGCTGAAAGAACGGGGAGGGCGTTTTTCCCTCTGGCCGGGAAGCCACATGACTATGCTGGCTAGGAGGATACTTGCCTCATGCAACATTGCCCACCTCCCTTGCCAGTGTGTGTCAGAAGAAAGGGAAGCAAAAAGTTCAGCCAAGTCTTCTCCTCTTTCTCAGGCATACATACAGAGAATACCTTCTGCAAGGAGAGGGCGCGGAGTGGGTCCCTCCGGTGCCATGAGATGTGCGCATGCTCTGTGTGTATGCCCGAGAAGGAGGAAAAGTCTTGGCTGAACGTTTCTGCCTCCCTTCGCAGAGCTGCTCAGAAGGCAGCAGGACCTTTAAGGTACTTCGATGCAGGAGGGAGAGAGGGACCATAAAGGAACAGGCAGGCCGCAGGAGCTGCCTTCTGAGCATCTCCACTGGGAAGGAAGGCAGAAAAGTTCAGCAAGTCTTTTCTTCCTTCTTGAGCATACACACAGAGCGTGCACACATCTCATGGCGCCAGGATCTTCTGTGAGGAGACGGCACATGGACGAGTCCCTCTTGCACCATGAAATGGGTGCACGCTCTGTGTGTATGCCCGAGAAGGAGGAGAAGACTTGCTGAACTTTTCTGCCTCCCTTCGCAGTGCGAAGACAGCTGCCGCAGTCTGTCTCTTTAAGGTACTTCGATGAGCTGGTGCGGTTCTTTACTTGGGTAGCCCAATGCCGCCACAGTGCCTGCAGTAGCAACAAGCAATGTTGCAACAATGAAGTACATTAAGATTTGACAGTGCAGAAATTGGTCCGTACGAAAATAGTGCATCTCTGAGGGGCTTCTGATCAAAAAAACCAAACCAACACCACCCAAAACAAAACCCATTCGGCAGGCAGACTCGGCAAGCAATCGCAATCTTCGGATTGGCTTTTATTTTGTCAGCCCAAGCAGGGGGCGGGGAGGTACGTAGGGAATTACCCTGTCTCTGCAGCATCGGTCATGTGACTGAGTGGACGTGGCCAACTCGACATCACTCACAGCAAGGTGCCACCCCACCATGCCATGAGTGACATTGAGTTGGCTACGCCTACCCAGTCACATGACCACTAGCCACGCCCACAGAACCGGTGGTAGTAAATTTTAAATTCTACCACTGATTATAAAGTATTATAAAATATAAAATACAAAGGAAATAGAAAAGCGGTGGGCAGGAGAGGGGAAAGAAAAGTTAGAAAAGATAAGAAAAAGAACCATTGACCTCTGACTCTCTCTGTTACAGTAAAATAAGGCATTAACATCAAATCACATCACAGCTTTTTGCTTTTTCTTAACAATATGAGCAAGCCATTTCTATAAAAATCTATCAGTCTAATTAGTAAAACCCAAAGTCAGAGTTTCAATTCTTCTCCACATCAAGCACAAAGTTCAGAAGCAGTCTCCATGTGGAAACAAAAGTACTTATATTCTTTTCTTTAATCAAAGTGGTCAGTTTTGCCATTTCAGCCAACTCCATCAACTTCTGCTACCATTCATCCGTAGAAGGAATCGAAGCGTCCTTCCATCTTTGTGCATACAATAGCCTTGCTGCTGTCAACATATATAATAACAAAGTTCCAAATTTTTTCTCTACTTCTTTTTCCATTAAACACAAAAGGAAAATTTCTGGTTTCATTTTCATCTGCGTTTTCACATTTTTTTGTATTAAAATATGAATCATATGTTTATACATCTTAGATAACGTACCTGTGTTAAATACCAACAATACGTCATCTTATAAATTTGTTCTTTTAGATTGTAATTTAATGTGAATTTTAAACTCTTCACATATTTTCCCATTGTTCAAGTATTACATTGTATCCAAAGTTCCTTGCTCAGTGAATCATACAATATTCATTTTCCAAATTTAAGTTCAATAACATTTTATTGATTTTAGTAATAATATATTCATCGTTGCCACATAATGAAATTTCCAATTCATTTTTAACAAAGTCAAATCCATTTTTTATCCAGTTTAAACCTTTCTCTGAGGCTAGGCATCTTCTAGGTATCTTCATCCTTGCAGTCCCTGTCCTCTGGAACATCTGCACTAAGAAACACTTGGCCCCACTCCCATGTTTAAAAGAGCCTTGAAAATCTGTTTTCTCCAGACCTTGGGTTTTCTATGCTATACTCTTCTTCATTGGTTGTTCTTTCTTTTGCTGTTTGAGTTTTATAAATTGTATGTTGTTATTGTTTTTACTATAAGCCATCCAGGCATTATAGAGTTGGACTGCTTTGTTAATCATTTCTCCTCCTGCTTGTCTTTTTTAGATATGTGAAAAGTCAACGCCACACCATCCAAGTGGACTTCATAGACTATATGGATGAACTGGCTTCTCTGATTGGGGTCAAGCCCAGCATATGGTCCCGGTTTATCACAGATCCTAAGCTGGCCCAGGAGCTTTTCTTTGGGGCATGTACTCCGTATCAGTATCGCTTGCAAGGACCAGGAAAATGGGAGGGAGCCAGGAAAGCTATCCTGATGCAGCATGAACGGATCTTGAAACCCTTGCAAACCAGGCTAGTTACTGAATCAGACAACAATGCCTTAGTGCCCCTTTGGTTTAAGTTAGTTGGCCTTCTTCTCCTGTTTGCTGCAATTTGGGCTTATTTTTAAGTCCACAGAAGTCCTATTCTCCTAATGCCAATCCCAACCTACATAGATTTTGGCATTACAATTTCATCTTTGTGCCTTTAATATTAAGTCTGCACATATAAACAGACTTTATTTCTCTAAAAGTAGCAATATTTTACTATATTGTGTGTAAGTTTCACCCACAAATGATTGTTAATATTTCTTGTTAGGGGACAGTTTTATGTTATTCATTTTATTGAGTGTACTTTTATTGGTCAATGATAATAAAGCTCCGTCTGTTTCATACATTTCTGTTATCCTTCTATTCATGTAAGTCAGTTTTGCTAGATGAGAATGCATTTTCTTAAATGTAAAGCAAAGTAATCTGCCTAAGTATAACCTGTATTACTTGGAACTTGCCTAGAAATGTCACTTTCCCTGCAATAAAATATTTGTAAACAGAGAGATGTTGTAACTATATCTGAATGGAGCAAAGACATAAAAAAAAAGACTGGGTAATTTTTAATGTAATGTACCTGTTTCCTTTGTTGCCCTAGATTCTCTGATAGACTTCACACATATTCTAAGTCAGAGGTCTCCAAACTTGGCAACTTTAAGACTTGTGGACTTCAACTCCTAGAATTCCTCAACCAGCATAGCTGGCTGAAGAATTCTGGAAGTTGAAGTCCACAAGTCTTAAAGTTGCCAAGTTTGGGGATCCCAGTTCTAAGTGGTAGAAGTGGGAATGATGCTCCAGATGGGAGAAAAACTACATTTCTGTACCATTTCCCCACCCCTCAGTGTTTGCCAAACAGCGTAAATCATTCTCTGTGAATTTTTCAGTTATAATGAATCCAGTTGGGTTGTGTGTGCAGGAGGTGGTAGAAAGACATGTTTAAGAATATGGAGTGTTACAGTAGTATCTTGGTATTCGACTGCTTCAAAACTCATCATATTTGATACTCCATGCATTTTGACATGAAAATGTTGCCCTAGTATTTGGCCTTTGTTTAGTAGTCAGTGCTAATGGGAAGAGTGGGATGGCTGTGGGGAACAGACAAGAAGTTAGCCATGCTAGGAAGGTCACTGACTAAGAAAAGGGACAGAGAGAAAGTTCTTCCCAGCTGAAATAAAGGGTTACAATGGTAAGTCACATGTTTTGGGACTTGTTTTTTTAGAACCCATCACACCTCCCAGAACAATTAGTGCCTAGTACCAAGGTACAACTATAGTGAGAAAAGTTGAGGTAATAGCAATATTGGCAGTTTGAAACAGATAGTGACAATCAGTTAAAGAATAACTGGAAATAATTCCTTTCAGAGCAAATTCTTCTCCCTATTTTGCCATGATTGTGTCACACTTAAAAAATTAAGAGTATTAGCAAGAACTACTGATAACACAGTTCAAGTTTGAGTTATATGTTCATCTTTATTGCAGTCAAGAACAACCAAGTTAACAAACAAAATATAATTCTTAACATAAATGAACACCCTCCTATTGAAAAATTAAGATGTACTCTGTTGGGTATATGGATACTCCAACTGGTTTGGGTTGAATAAATATGT